TCACTCACTGATAACACTACATAGATGAGCGGTAAAAGCTTTTAAAGCCTCGCCTATGGTCAATTTTGGGTATGGTAGTTTTTTTAGATTTTGCGGGTGCGCACAATTTTAAAGCTTGACATGTTTGGTGTCTATTTATCCGACATGACCCCGTCTCTTATATTTTACCAAAAATATGGGTAATAATATCTGTATTATAACATAATGTAAAAAAAAAAATTCAGTAATTGTTCCTTATATAATAAAAAATAAAACTCCCAGTGGTGGTTAAATATTAAAATTATATAGAATTCATTTCAGTACAGCGTTGCATGACGGAATAAATGTCAAAGTACTGCAGCGCTAAATACTGAAACATGGCCTGGCCAGGAAGGGGGTGTAAACACCTGGTCTTCAAGTGGTTAATTGTTCCCAAATGTGTTATTACACCAAGCTTTAGAAAGGGCTCAGTGTTATCCTGGGAGATCTCTATGCCACATTTTGACCTGATTTTGCCCAAATGTTGCAGGTTGTATTTGTAGTGAATGTCTGGCATCATAAATATGCTTACCAAAGGGTCTTTTCCTGCTCTTTCAGTTTCTCACAACTCTGCCTCCCACCTTGATTTTATTGTATCACATTCTTTACTCATTCCAATGTTTTTATATGTGGGTTATGTTGTCGGGCTCCTATCAGACCACTCCTCGTGCTGGGTAATGTTAAAGTAGAAAGCACAGCCTCCCCCTTATTCTGGAAGTTGAAGTTGGAAGGAACCTGTTTTGGCTTCCTCTAATTGCAGGTGAATCTATATTTGGCTCGGAGGGGCCCTCCTTAACCGCTTGAAGACCAGGTGTTTAGACCCCCTTCCTGGCCAGGCCATTTTTCAGTGTTCAGCGCTGCAGTACTTTGACATTTATTTCGTCATGCAACGCTGTACTGAAATTAATTTTATACCATTTTTTGGGGCTAGATAGAGCTTTCTTTTGGTGGTATTTAATCACCACTGCGGGTTTTATTTTTTACTATATTCAGGAGAAATTACTGAAATTTTTTTTTTACATTGTTATAAAACAACTAATATTACCCACTTTTTTGGTAAAATATAAAAGACGGGGTCACGTCGGGCAAAAAAAACACCAAACATGTCAAGTGTAAAAATTGCGCGCACTCGCAAAATCGCAAAAAACTAGCATACCCAAAATTGGCCATAGTCGACGCTTTAAAAGCTTTTACCGCTCATCAGTTTAGTGTTATCAGTGATTGATGGCCCTAGAACTATTGCTCTCATTCCGACGTTCGCGGCGATATGTAACATGTGCGGCGTAATTGGTGCAATCGTCGTTTTCGCAGGTATGCGCACCTGACGCATGTTTACATGCGTGTATGTAGGGGTGGGGACTTTACAAAAAATGTTTGTTTTTTTAATTATTTTTTGTGTAACTTTAAAAAAATTGGGGGGGAACTTTTTTTACTATTTTTTTTATTATTTAGAGAGCCAGCGGGGCTGACTAGCAAGATACTGGTAAGCTTCTGGCTCTCAAAACACCTGAAGAGTGCCTGGATCCAATCAGATTGTTCAGTTATTTAGAGAGCCAGCGGGGCTGACTAGCAAGATACTGAAGCTTGGCCCAGTGGGAGTTAAGTGTAGATGGAGGAATCTGTTGCACCTTTTTCATCTGACCACAAAAAATCTGCAGATAATTGTAAGGTGTATGGGCACCTTTACAAGGAACATTGCCACTGCCTGTCCTTTAACAATATGGGAAACCTTTAAGATGTATGCACCTCTTTTCATTGATTAGGAATGTTAAGCAGAAATCAGTGGCTGCTGAGCAACAGGTTGATCAAGCTCTGGTTGCTGTCACTAATGCTTTTGCTCAGGAACCGACATTACATTATGTTCAGGCACTTCAATTACAAACCCATGTTACCCACATGGTTAATCTAGCTAAGGCTAAGAAACAGAAATATTTTTAGTGACTATAGACCTTTTAACATGGAGAAAGAAAACTGGTAAGCTTCTGGCAAGTCTAGCTAATTATGAATCTAAGCCCCCCCTCGTCATTGCCCTCCACTTCTCTTAGGGCTTGTTCACACCAAATGCGTTCCAGATGCAGAGCAGTTACAAAATGCATCAAAAACGCATTCAATGTATTCCAATGGTATTTTGGGCTCTAGTTCAAACCACAGCGTTCAGTTCCAGAGCAGGTAAAAAAAACTGCAGCAAGCCCTTTTTTCCTGCACTGCAAGGCTCCGAAACGCAGGGCTTATTAGATTTTTGTTTGCTGGCTTGCCCACTTTGTCAAACTGCTTTTGGACATCCTTTTTGTCTCATAACTAGCCTTGTGTCCCCTTAAGAATGATAAAGAAACCAGGATTTTTGTGCTCACCGTAAAATCCTTTTCTTGAAATTCATTAGTGGGCACAGGTCTGTCTTTATGATCCACTGCTACTACTGCTTTTCCACAAAACTGAAACTTGATTGGAATGGGAAAGGGTCATATTTGGCAGACTAACAGCTAGTGTCCACTCTCCTGCAGGCTGCAGTATACCCCTCTTCAGTGGCGGAACTACCGCCGGTGCGGACGCACCAGGGCCTCGGGCCTCTAGGGGGCCCAGGACAGTCCCAGCGCCGGATCGGTACCCAGCGGCCAGAGGGCCCCCCATCTCTGCGCCGAGAGTGTCGGATCATCCGTTCATCCGACACTCCCGGCGCAGAGATGGGGGCCCACCGGCCGCCGGATACTGAATGCTGTGTTTGTGGGTTTTTGGGTTTTTTTTGCACCAGGGCCCTTTATTCCTTAGCTCCGCCACTGCCCCTCTTCTTTCAAAACAACCGTATCCCTTACTGAACTCCAAGAAAATAATTTTATATTAAGTACAAATATCCAGCACTGTATTTGTATGTATTACAATACACAAGTGTTAACAGGCCCTAATTTGTGTGGGTTAAGGAGGAAATGTAACTTTTTATTCTGGCTGGTTAAACTGATTTTAATGATGTTTGTATTTAATTTCACTATATATGTGCAAATATATATGACTGGCATCACTATAACATTCATTTTTTAATGTATATGTATTTTGTTGATGCCTGTCAGGGGAGGATTGGGCTATAGGGCCAGGGCAAATTATGTTGGGTTGTTGGCACTGAGTGGAGATACTCACCAATCAGTCATGAGTCACAGTGGGACCCACAGTCTTTCACAACATGGTGGACACTATATAACTACCTGCTACTCATTTAAACCTGTGATCACAGCATCTGGCATAGGGAAATTTTCTGGCACAGAATTCCTTTGTGGCACTGTTAGGTGACTGTATTCCAAGAGTCTCTAAAGAATCTGATGCTGGATGAAGTAGAAAAGGCGGTTAATAAACCTTGTGCTTTGAGAACACCGACTTTTCACCCTTATTGCTAATTACTGCTGCACAATGTCATTCTTTGTATAGTAGACTTTCTTCTGCCACAGGGAACTGTCTCTACTATGCCACTATTGTATTTGCCCCTTAGGTGATAAGCAGTGGCGGACCTAAGGAACAAAGGGCCCTGGTGCAAGATTTTTTTTTGCCCCCCCACCCCCACCCAAAAAAACCCACAAACACACCGTTCTCCTCCCGCAGCGCTCAGCCGGTTTTCACTTTCTATCCTCCCCGCTGGGACACAGAGCAGCGCCCAGCGGGGAGGAAAGAAAGCAGGGATGCATTGCTGTATCGGCAGAAAAATTGCATTATTGCTCTCACTGCGACGTTCGAGGCGATATGTAACATGTGCAGCACAATTGTCGTTTTTC